ATAAATGATAGGATGTTGACCATTTATTGGGGTCATAAAGTATGGAGTAGTGGTCAATCTAATCTTGTGAGTGTGTGTGTTGTCTTTTGGATTTTGATTACCCCATAATATGCTTTTGTCTTTTTTCACAGCAAATAAGACTAGATATTAACTAAAAAAGCATAGAAAAAAATTGTATAACAGACCAAATTTATTATAAAATCCACAATAATATCACAAATGAAGGTCTGCATGGGGTTGTATTCTTATTATTTATTTTTTGCCCAACATGCTCTTAATCTTTAACATCCCAATCTAATTAAAATATATATCTCTAATTTCGTTATACTCATATATCCATGCAAGTTACGATAGATAGATATTTTAATTAGATTGTTAGCATCCAATCATGCTCTATTGTTTATACTTAAGCACCATCTTTATCATAGTAGTCAATTATTCTCTATTCTGTAAACCCCAATCCAGACCCTTACAATTATTTATAGGGTGTCTTCGAATTCTAGGAAATGTTGCATGCTGTCAGAGCATAGATGCATGCATTTGGATATTTGAAACAAATTGTTGTATTATATGGTGAAATTAGAATTACACAGAAGTTAAAATGAATTATTCTGTTAAAGACAATTAACAATTAATATTTCATTTATGTAAAAAGTTTGAAAATATTCATATGAATACAAGTATTGGAAATACTGTCCTGTTTCATAAAGTTTCATAATGTAAAAATGTCAATACTTTAATGTTAAATGGATAACAAGAGGCTGTTTAAGTGAGTGACAACAAAATTAAACCAGGTTTATCCAACTTAATCAATGATTAGCATCAGTAAGTTCTACTTGCAACATATTACAATTAAAAAAGCTTTGGTGCCAGGAAAAGAGATGGAGCTACCCCTGTTCAAACCAAAATAATAATAAAACATGTGAAGAAATGACACATAAAATTTAAATATATCCATAATTTTATAATTTAATTTTGGATGTAACACATCTTCTGATTGGCTGAAAAGTTTTGGTCTATCAGCTCATAGACATAATTTTGTCATGTGACCGTGGCGTCATCAACGTTATTTTCATGATTTACTCCTTAAAAAATGAAATTTAGAATTAAATTATAAGGAATGACTGTAATATTTTTTCTGTCTATTCGAAATAACCTAAAAAATGTGGTGCACACTTTTAAATAATCCGCTACCCGGGTTATTGAGTGTGCACCACATTTTTGATGTTATTTCTTCATAGACAGAAAAAATATTACAGTCATTCCTTAAATAGAACACATGACAGAACATAGAACAAAAATTAGCATAGAAATATCAGTAACTGTTATAAAAGTTTTAAAATCGTCAGTTTTCAACTTATTTACTTTAGCTTAATCATCAAATTTTTCAGTCCCCTCTGGACAATAAAAAAGGTTAGCAAAATTTAGCATCAAGGTTGCATTGTTGGAAATATTCTAAAACCCATCCCCATGAAGTCATTGGCTTTTTCAACAACAACATCAGGTGTTGTAGTATTCTTTCTTTACAAATATATATCTATGTCATGTCAATTAACAATTACACGTGTACCATCTTGTCCATTCACAAATTGATGAAAAGAGAAGAGAAATGAACAATGTGCAATAATACTGAAAGTGATATTAAAACATGTTTTAATGATATTCCATTGGTCCACTTTTATACAAATATAAAGACACTGATTGTTAATGCAAGATGTTTCACACATATAAATTTACATGCAACTTTTAAAACAAACAATATCTTATGTTTTTGAATAAGCTTCCCAATCTTCTACTACTGTAAATTCAGAAATTATTGCGTGCATTTATTATTGCGATTTTTGAAGAATTTATAAAAATGCGAGTTAAATTATTGAGATTTCAGGAAAAGCTTCATACAGATATATGTATCTGATATCAGAATGTGAGTTCTCAATATTGTGATACTCAAGTAGTCACATTATTTGCATTAATAAAAACCTCGCAATAATTTCTGAATTTTACAGTATCACAATTAATTACCCTGGTATTCAATTTTAATACTGTATATTCAGAAACTATTGCAAGGTTTTTATTCATGTGAATATTGTGACTGGGCACGTGCACAACTATCATAATATTTAGAACTTGCATATTATATATCTGAATACAGCTATTCCTGAAATCGCAATAAATAATCTCAAATTTTGGTTGGTCATAGCAAATTCACAATAATAAATTCTCGCAATAATTTCTGAATTTACAGTAACTATTTATACTGTTGTAGCTATAAATAAAAGGAGATTTGGATAACCCACAAATGAGACAGCACCCCAATGAAAACAATTAATAAATAAAAGACATCTAGAGCTCAATATAATCTTCAATTGCTTTTTTATATTTAACCATAATAAGGGTTTGTCCAGGTCAAACAAAATACAAAAACAGTATACATGGTATATATGCCAGCATTTATATTCATCCTTGATTAATTCTAGCATACAGGAACTTTTTGTGCCCCCCCCCCCCCCCCAAGAATGAATCAACAAACTGATTGTAATGCAGATCATGTGACAATTTTCACTTAGGGAGAAACCATTTAACTTCAGGGGGGTATTGTTATTTGTCTCTGTCAGAAATTTTTTTTCCCGCAAAGCACGAAATTCTTTTTTAGTTTTTCGAAGCTATCAATTAAATTATTTTTTTCAAAATTTAACACTTTAAGGTAGGGGGAAAAACTGGATTCAGAATGTTTTTTTTTGTCATCTGTTGCATGCATATGGTGAAGTAAGAATTACACAGCAAGCTAAAATGTCTGCTTCTGTTAAAGACAATAAACAAATTCTTCCTGAAAAAATATTTTATTTATTTAAAAAGTTTGAAAATGCTCATCATACTTGTAATGGAAATACTGTCCTGCTTCATAAAGTTTTGAAGTGTAAAAATGTCAAAATTTTATGTTAGAATGATAACAAGAGGCTTTCAAACCAGGCTTTTGAAACTTGACCTCGGTTCTGTCATTAAATTCTTAAAATTTAAAAAAGGATTGGTTGCAAGGAAAAGACTGGGAGAGAAACTCTCTGTTCAATCCCAAAATCGAATAACAAATTTCCAAAGGATAACCTAGTTAAAAATCCTAATAAAACATGTAAAAGAGAGGCAAAAGATACCAAAGGGACATTCAAACTCATAAGTCGATAATAAACTTACAATGCCATGGTTAAAAAAGAAAAAGACCAACAGACAAACAATATAATTAATAGTACACAAAACTCAACATAGAAAACTAAAGACTGAGCAACATGAACCCAACCGAAAACGGGGGGTGAAAAATTAGTATAAAAATAACTGTTTCTGTTATAAAAGTTAAATATTATCAATTTTCGACTCACTTACTTTAACTTCCACATTTTTTAGTCCCCTCTACAGTTCCTTAGAAAAAGAAAATGGTTAGCAAAATTTGAATTAAGGTTCTATTGTTGTAAATAAACTAAAATGTCTTCTCATGAAGTCCTTGCCTTTATTAACTACAACATCACTATAGATTGTGTTGTAGAACTCTGTCTTTATAAATATATATATATAAATTTTTTTCATGTCGATTAACGCTAACCATCTTGTGCATTCACAAATTGATAAGAGAAATGAACAATGTGCGAAAAAAATGAAAGTGATATTAAGGTGGTACCCAACACCTTGACTAACATTAATTTGGCTTGTTTAATTTTCATAAAATTTTGACAAAATGTTTACTTTGACCCTTTGACAAAAATATAAAAATTTCAAAAAATTTGAACCAACCACTTTATCAGAAAAATTTCTTTGGTTATATAGCAGTTTGACAAACGCTAATTTTGATCATTGAGAAGCTTAATATTTCCTTAACAATACAACGTAATTAAAACGTTTAGCTGAATTTTACAGAGTTATCTCCCTGTAGTGTTAGGTACCACCTTAAAACATGTTTTCTTGATATTCCATTGGTCCACTTTTATACAACTATAAAAGACACTGATTGTTAATGCAAGATGTTTCACACATATAAATGTACATGCAACTTTTAAAACAAATAATATTTCATGTTTACACTATCACAATTGATTACCCCAGTATTCAAATTTAATATGGTCCATACAGAAACTATTGCAAGGTTATAATTCATGAAAATATTGCAACTGGGTGACTATAACAATATTGAGAATAATGATAAACTGTACATATATCTATATGCAGCTTTTCTTGAAATCGCAATAATTAATCTCAAATTTTGGTTGGTCATGTCAAATTTGCAATAATAATTTCTTAATTTATAGTAACAGTACTGTAGTAGTTATGAATAAAAGGAGATTTGATAACCCACCAATAAGACAGCACCCCATGGACATTAATAAATAAAAGACATCTAGAGCTCAATATAATCTTCAATTGCTTTTTTATGTTTAACCATAATAAGGGTTTGTCCAGGTCAAACAAAATACAAAAACAGTATACATGGTATATATGCCAGCATTTATATTCATCCCTTCTTGATTAATTCTAGCATACAGGAACTTTTTGTGCCCCCCCCCCCCCAAGAATGAATCAACAACCTGATTGTAATGCAGATCATGTGACAATTTTTGACTTAGGGAGAAACCATTTAACTTCAGGGGGGGTATTGTTATTCGTCTCTGTCAGAAATTTTTTTTCCCACAAAGCATGAAATTCTTTTTTAGTTTTTCGAAGCTATCAATTAAATTATTTTTTTCAAAATTTAACACTTTAAGGTAGGGGGAAAAACTGGATTCAGAATGTTTTTTTTTGTCATCTGCTTGACAACATTATTTTTTTCATCAAATTGGGGATCAGAATTAGGAAAAAAACATAACCCCCTCCCTTAAAGTTATATGGTCGTTCCCTTACGAGGATCTGACAACAGTCTGGTTTACTCTTTGTTTTGGATTCCTCTGGTTTGGTTGTAATGGTACACAGCGACACTTCAAATATTGTGTAGCAGAAATTTCATTGGTATTTAAAATGTGCAAATTTACAGAACAGATTGTGATGACAGAGCCTTGTAAGGGAAGTGCATACAAATGATCTGTATCTTAATTAGATTGTAACCAACAGTGTCCCAAACTGAAGGAGATGAATCTTAAAAAGATTACCCCATTTATACAACAATAATGCACAATAAATATTTATCAATTACACAGCATTTAAAAATACCATTGAATGTACTTTATCAAATTAAATCACAATTACTACACTACAGCTCATGTGAATTTTGACAATTTCCCCTGATCCAGCCCCTTCCTGAGGACAAATATTTAACCCTAAATTCTGGAGCCAATTTATATACAAAATCTTCAATAATTTTTTTAAAGACGTTTTATGTGTCAACTTTTATGATGTATAAAAGTAAAGAGTGTATCCTTTACACAGGCTGGACAAGAAGGATAATCTAGAAGCTTTTTCCACTCTGTACCCATTCCCACCATCTACAAAATCAATGTGAGCTGTAGTGTAGATAATAAATCTCAAGTAGAATTGAATGATTTTCTATTGTCAAAATATTGCAGATGCTCAACATGAAAGAAACCCGGAATGATTTTCGAATCTATTGTCAAAATAAATCAACTGAGGCATCACTTGATAAAAATTGAGCTTGAATTATGATTTCTGTCAAATATCTACAGACAATAGAAACTTGCTCAAGTGTACCTTGCGAACAAGTTGGGAAAAATACAACTACATGTATAGAGGCTGTTATGAGATAATCAACTCTCTGGTAAATTTAAACTCATTATAAAACAATATAAACAAACCCATATCAACTAGTCACTTTTGTAATGAGATAATAAGCTAAGAAAAACAACAGTACAAGTCCTAGAATCATATAACACATCAACTTCCTGTTTCCCTTGTTGGCGGACACCATGTGAGATAGTCTATGAACTGTTCCTCCTAATAATCCATGTGTGCTCTCAAAGTCATTTCCCTGTAATAAACCAATCTTGAGTTATTTTTCATGAATGAGACCAATGTCAATCTGGGTAACATGTCAGAGCATTGTGACATAGGAAAATGTATGTGAAAAAGCATGATTTTGAAAGTTATACATGTTATATATGTAAAATTTGTTATCAGTCATAATCAATTTTTTACAAGATATAGCGCAAGAATCTACTAATTCATACACCATCTCTTGCTTTTGAGTGAAAGGAAAAACAAACAATGAGGAAGCAGACAACAGAGAGTATACATAGATAAACATATGGCTTACCATACTCAATATTAAACTTGTGGGAAAAATTTTCAACAAAAATTTTTTAGTCATGCATCAATGCAAAAACCACAAATGTATCTTGTCACATTATATAATTTGCTTACCAATATGAATTTTGGTTCAATAAATCAAGAAGCTTTGACTTGATGATGAGAAAAATGCAACAAAAGTTTCAATATTTTTATACATTTTATATGTGCTCCAATGTAAAGAACACACATGTGGTAAAAAAAAATTAAATAATTTGATCTGGAATGTGTCACATGGTACCGATAAAAATTACCAATATAAAGTTTGGTATCAAATATAAAGAAGCTCTGATTTGCAGTAATTGAGAAAAATGCCACAATTTTTTGTGTTAGTGACTGATGTAAAAAAAAGTACATGTAAACATGGTAAAGGAATCTGACAAACAAGAAGAAGAAAAGTGACAAATCTTAAATGTGTTTACCATCATTAGTTGGTTTTTAAAGTCTTTATGATTTTGTGCCAAAATATTTAAAACACAGTTTTCACAGTCACTGATGGTACTGCCACACAGATCAAGTTAGGGCTTTATCAAATCATGCATTATCATAATGTGCCCTCACAGATCATTCATTCATTCCTGCATTAGAGTAATAAAGCTAGAAGTTTATGCTACAATAAAGTGGGTTCTTGCTATTTAATTCTACTGCTGCTGTGAGTCCTGAAAATCACAGGAGGACCCAAGGGGACTAAGCCTATAAAGTCAGGTACCCCCTCCTCCCAAGCACATGGGGACCTAATGCATACCTATACAATGTTAATTTCATTAGTGTACTTAATTAGAACATCTATGGTTTTGAATGAGTATACATGTGTTGTAATGCATTTTTTACTCCTCTGAATGCCTTTTAAAAAGTATTTAGTTTAAACAATTGAGTTTTAAAAGGGGTCAGGTCAACACCTCTCATGAGAGGATATTCCCCATACGGTCCGAGTACACAGTTATTTCGTAGTGCATTTCTTTTAGACAATAAATGAAAATAAAAAAAATTCGTAAAGGTTCCGCGGAACCCAGTGTCTCGCCTACTTTTGCTGTTAATCGCAGGCTCAACAAAAATGAGGAAAAAAATTAATAAAAATATTCCTCTATATACTATCTTTTGATTGTAAGTAGCTTCTGTCCAAGTTTGGTAAAAATCCAGTATAGTTTATGAATCTAATAAATGTTTTAAAAACTTAAACTGCAGACTGTATGTAATGTTAACTGGAAGAAAAACTAAGTCTATTTATAAGTAAAATACGGAAAAAATGGAACAAAATTTTAACAAAATTTCCTTCTAGATACTAGCTTTAAATCATAAACAAGCTTCTGTCCAAGTTTGGTACAAACCCAGGATAGTTTAAGAAAGTTGTTAAAATTTTAAAAACTTAAACCACAGAGCGAATGTAATGTTAACTGGCAGAAAAACTAAGTCTATTTATAAGTAAAATACGGAAAAAATGGAATTTTTTTTTACAAAATTTACTTCTGGATACTATCTTATGATCATAAACAAGCTTCTGTCCAAGTTTGGTAGAAATCCAGGATAGTTTAAGAAAGTTATTAAAATTTCAAAAACTTTAACCACAGAGTGAATGTAATGTTTCCTGGCAGAAAAACTAAGTCCATTTATAAGTAAAATACGGAAAAAATGGAATTTTTTTTTTACAAAATTTACTTCTGGATACTATCTTATGATCATAAACAAGCTTCTGTCCAAGTTTGGTAGAAATCCAGGTTAGTTTAAGAAAGTTATTAAAATTTCAAAAACTTTAACCACAGAGTGAATATTTGTGGACGCCGCCGACCACGACGACGACGACGACGACAACGCCGACGGAATGTAGGATCGCTATGTCTCGCTTTTTCGACAAAAGTCGAAGGCTCAACAAAAATCCCACCTGCGCTTTCTCAATAATATTTTTACAGTGTGTTGTACTACTTTTGGGACAAATTATACCAAAATTATAGAAAACTTCATCGGCTCTAACTCAAAATATGGACAATTCTATGTTAAGGGGGTCTTGAAATCTTTTGACAGCTTCCGAAGTGCTAATTTTTAACCTTTTTCAGCTGGACCAAATCACTACTTTACTTTACAATTCATGACCCAAATTTTTTTACAGTGTAATTTTATCCCCCTACTTGCTATTTGAGGCATAAAACATGAAGGAATACATTTGGAAGGGGTACTAAAAAAATTGGCAAGCAACACACTGTCCACACTAGGGACTTTATTCGTGGACAACGAAAATCAAAGGACGATAACTGTGTACTCGGACCTAATAGGATAGAAAAATTTGACCAATCTTAATAAAACTTGGTATGACTAAAGCTTAATAAATTATGAGACTGCTGACAAAGTTTCATGGCAATAGGATATATATTATAGACAATATGATAAATTCTATATTCAACTTCGCGTGTTAAATTTTGACGTTTAAATTGAAAAATTTCAACTATCAACATTTGGGGCTTTAAAAATTAAAATATTGCAAAAATTTACATTTTAAAGGCCTTAATATATGACATATTATGTATTTAAAGCAATAGAATACTCATTTGATTTATCAGACTTATCACAATTATTTAAAAGTCAAATTTATATGAGCCTGTGCCAAAAAATGGAGGTTTTCCAATAAAGGAGGGCCTTACATGAAGATGTATTATTTTCCAGCAATTTTAAATTTGTGGAGTTTTTTGGTTATAAATAATCCTTACATATGTATTAAATGTACTTTAAATGGAAAGAAAAATTACAAATAGCATACCATATTAGTATAAAAGGGTCTTAAGCCAAGTAAGACTGAAAATAATTTAGGGTCAATTTAGGCCGTAGCACATATTTACATTTAAAAATGCATACCGGTACTGAAGCTATAGGAAATAAAAATTTGTGTCTTTTTTATAATTTCTATACTCAGGTTACATGATACAATAAATCTGAGCATAAAAGGACTCTTGCATTCAACTTTTTTTGCAGACAATATGGTCTGATACAAAGATTTTTCACTTTTTAGTGAAAAACTTGCATGCAATTTTAGCCTCAGCAGGCTTATATTTGAACCACTTGCTATTTAACATAAGAAAAGAAAGATACTATGTGAAATGAAACAGGTACAAAAGACATTGTGAAGTGCTTTTAATACAAATTTAGTGAAATCTTTATTATGGACTTCAACTTTTATGTACCTAGGTCCTCACATTTAACTTGATCCAAACAGGCCGTTACACGAGGGTCATTTATACAACACATTTTGCACATATTGTCTGAGATAATCTTATTTTCTGTAAATTCAGAGTTCACAAATGAGTAATACAACTGGGTTAAAGCATAGAAACACAAATATTGACACAGGAAAACCTGTCACATAGAAAGTCAGAATGCCACTTATGCATCAAAATTGAAAAAGCTTTGAAATGCTTATTTTGACCATATAATGCCAAAATGGGTAATTTTTGCAGAATTTCTATCAAATAAAAGTTTAAATCCTTTAGTTTCATGCTATCTGACAAATTGACACCATTAAATCATTCAGGGAAGTTGCCAAAGTACAGATTCTATATTTACTGATTTCGCCTCTTAGGTCCGAGTACACAGTTATTTCGTAGTGCATTTCTTTTAGACAATAAATGAAAAAAAAAAAAAAATCCCACCTGCACTTTCTCAATAATATTTTTACAGTGTGTTGTACTACTTTTGGGACAAATTATATCAAAATTATAGAAAACTTCATCGGCTCTAACTCAAAATATGGACAATTCTATGTTAAGGGGGTCTTGAAATCTTTTGACAGCTTCCGAAGTGCTACTTTTTAACCTTTTTCAGCTGGACCAAATCACTACTTTACTTTACAATTCATGACCCAAATTTTTTTTACAGTGTAATTTTATCCCCCTACTTGCTATTTGAGGCATAAAACATGAAGGAATACATTTGGAAGTGGTACTAAAAAAATTGGCAAGCAACACACTGTCCACACAAGGGACTTTATTCGTGGACAACGAAAATCAAAGGACGATAACTGTGTACTCGGACCATACAGCAGGAAGCGAGAAAGTTTGCAGGTCTGCGGCCCTCCCCCTTCCAGAATCCTGGATTTGCAACTGATATTGGTGCCACTTATCAGCAATACTATTATCTGTTGTAAATACATACATTGTAAATATATACAAGATAAAGCTGCATATATTTTGCTACATAATTTATCTGTTTCTAATGTACATAAATGGAGAATGTGTCCATGTTCACAGATGATGTCCCCACTTGCATATAATGTTATAAAGGGACATAACTCAAGAACGGTAAAAGTGACGCCACCCAAATTCGAACTATATCAGATTTTTGTGGTAATAAGCATTGTTTATAAGTTTCATAACATGGTTGAGGCAAACTTGTTAGCAAATGGAAACGAAAAATTCAGCAATTTTTCCATTTGTAAAGGGGAATAACTCTAGAACAGTATAAGTGATGCCACCCAAATTCAAACTTGATTTGTGTTTTGTAGTAATAAGCACTGTGTATAAGTTTCATAACAAAATTAGAGAACGGAAACCAATTTCCAGACGTACGTACAGACAAATGTACGGATGAACATACAGACAAGGGTAACACTTAATGCCCCCACAGCAGCGGCAGGTCATAAAAATAAATAAATAATGGAATTGATGCAAAATTTTGAGAAACCATATGCAACTATTCCAGTCATAGTTACGTTCGATAACTCTGCATGTTACTTGTTAAATAAGAATTATGTCAAATTTACTGGTTACCCGTGTGATGATTAGAAAATTGAAAATATAGATATTTCACCTCGGTTACCATCCATTCGAGGTTTTCTTTTATTGATATAAAATAATAGCATAAATTAATTTCATTAAGAATCGAACAATACTAATCTACATGTACACAGGTCTTGTCAAAACTTTCATCGTGATTCTGTGCCATGTTTGTTTTCTTTGATCACGTTGCCGATGACTTAATATATCCTTAATCTACCTATGTCCTTGGGTATTATTAAAGTGACAATAACGTGCCATACTTAATTGCAATATCAACAGTGAAATCAATTTGAATCATTTGCATAGGTAAAATTAGTGTCGAACATCTTCTACGTTTGAAAATTATTTGGTCGCCATTTTTTTACGTAGCTTCGAAATTTTATCAAAACAAACAGCATGTATCCACTTTAACAAAGAGAAAGAATGTTTGATTCTATGCTGCTTTAAGGTAAGACAATTACTGAAAACACGTGCATCCAACATTTATTCGATTTTCATCGTAAATATCTTACAAAATATATCTTCACAAGTCGGCCCAAGCTGTCAATGTTAACTGCATGGTTAATGCATATAAATCTTTATTTTGAGTGCGATAGACTGTTTCTAATAAATATGTTAAAGAAAAGGTGAAATAAGAAATTTCTTAAATACAATAAGACACACTTCAATAAAAATTTGAAATATTACTTTTTGATTAATAACTAAATGAATACCGGCATGTCATTTCGATCTTTACTTCCAACAGCGGCCGCCATGTTTAAAATATTGCTAACGAATGCCAAAATGTCAATTTTTCTATCAAATTTTGAAGCAAAAAGTTTGATACCTAAACTGATATGGTTTTCGATTTCATTTAAATGAATATGTTGTTGATCTTTTTAGGGGTTGGGAGGATATTAGTAACAATAAATTAGTTGAGAAAATTGATTATATAATAAGGTCCCATTGCAATTTTATCGAAGAAGTCAACGGAGGCTGTGTGGTTATGTCACCTCAATTTTCAAACTTATTTTGAAGCAAGAAATCATATATCTGAACTGAAACTTAAAACATTTTTAATTGTAAAAATTAATATACTGTAAAACACGGGGTTGGGAGGTAAAATTCACAATGTAACAAAAATGTTATGACCGTTTAATCTATGTACCCCGTTCATTTTCATTGATAATTAATCAGCCATTAATGATATACAACTGAAGTGCAAAAGTCACGTGAAGACCGCGATAGTTGGATATGCCAAATAAAAAAAAGCTCATGAATAAAATGATGATAAATTAAAATACTAGTAAGAAAATGAAATGATTTTAAGCCTGATTATTAGATGATGTAAATAAATCAACTTCCTACTTGAGACCACAATGCCAGTCTAACACCAAAAGACAGAATGGCCACATAGTCAGCATACTAAACAATCTGAGCAAAAACCTACCATATCATCTAAGTATCTGTTAGAGTCTTTTGATTCTGTTTCTATATCAAATGCAAGCTGAAAATAGTAAAATTGTGAAAGAGAGTAATAAATAAAACAATGACAGATCTTTGATTGTTACAGTAACTTACTTTTAAATAATCATATTAAATACAAAGATACTAGTTTATAGTTGTTTTGATTTGTTGAAGACTCTATATGTTGGTATCAAGTTGTTGTTTAGTGTATACTCTACATTTTTTTTTAATTCATTATATGAGTGATATTTTTTAACATTACTGTTATAGCACGATCACAAGATTAATAATAATTGAAACATTATATAGGTTATTACAATATTATCTATCAATTATTTTCCTTTTCTACAACAGATTATATATATTTAAGTGCATGCATGGCTGACCCTCCTTATTTAGGTTAGTTTTCATCATACATTTCTTATTAATTTTACAGAATTCAAAATTATTCCAGATTCAAATATTTCCTTGTTGATACATGTATTAAGTTAATATTACAGAAATAGAGTATTTAATTGCCCTAAGTCTCGACAAGTTGTAAATAAAGGAGAAGGTATATTAACACATGATTAAATTAGTACATACAGACTTCAGTCTTGATACTTTGTCTGATAATCCATCAACTCTTCTTTGGTTTTCCGAATCAAGCATTTCTTCTGATCTAGACAATCCTGAAATGTAGAAAAATCTGGTCATTCTATTGCTTAGTTACCATGTCATGAAATATAAGTTCCTTCATTTTATAAGTTCCAAGCGGAAGAAATAGTCTGTAATATTATTTCCACTGGAACAAATATTACAGTATTTGTTCCTGACGGAATAAAGGGTATCATGATTATAGCATATTTGTTTCAACAGGTACAGTTATTATGGCATTGTTATAACAAAGTATCCAGGGAAACATCTGTTAGAGGGAACAAATATACTTTACACATTGGTTACTAAATCTACATGTATATATTGGTACTTTGTACTTTATTTAGCCTTTTTAACTTTTTGATTCGAGCGTCACTGATGAGTCTTTTGTAGACGAAATACACGTCTGGGGCAAATACAAAATTTCAATCCTGGTATCTATGATGAGTTTATTTCCATTCTACCCCATATCTAATTAAGGGTATACCTAGATAGGCTTATTGAAATAGATATATCGACTGTCAAGATGAAGAACAGGAATAAAAGCCCTATTCATTGATAATTTTCTATGTTTTCTATGTATTGTGTGATTTAGTCCCATGTACATTTACTCCATATCCTTTCATTTTCTATATATTTTTCTTGTTAGGAATCACAGAGGTATTTATTACCATGCATACAGATTTTCTATGTTCTAGGGGAGTTAACTCAATTTTCTTTTATTACATGTACTAAAGATAATTGATTTTACTTACTCATAAGGAAAACTGCACAATGTGATGTATACTGTAAATTCAGAAATTATTGCGAGCATATATTATTGCGATTTTGTCATTTTAGACTAAAATGCTATTTTAATTTTTGCGATATTCAGAAAAATCCTGTTTGGATTCATATAACAAATTTCAAAATGCGAGTTTTAATTATTGCGATTATAACCCTGTCGCATTTTTCGCAATAATAAAAACACCGCAATAATTTCTAAATTTACAGTATAGGAAAATATTAGAAATTAATTGCCTAAATACATGAAATATTTCCATAAATATCAAATTTACTTTCAAAGCAATTGTTGAGCAATGATGTCATTTAAGAAAGGTGTCAAAATTTCCTTAATTTAGTTATTAAAATTTAATAGTTTCTTTAATTCACGTGTGTACATGTAACATCACACCCAGCACTCCCTAAAAATAGTGTAGATGATATTAGTTTAGACTTTACAGCTATTCATTGTTGGCAAAAGGGGGATTATCATATTTCAATATGGAACAACCTTGAAGACAGCATAGTGACAGCAAAGTCAACCTAAAGCTTTAAATCTGCACTATATAGTCGCAATCGGGACTAATTACGTTCTCCATCCCCATTATAATAAAGCCCAAAAGGGATTCTACAACCAAATTTTAATCACTTTGAATTGGTACCTGAATAATTTGACACATATGGTTAACATGATGTTCTGCAAGTTAATTACTCGTTTCTTTTCAATATTTTAAAACTATTTTGATTATAAAGAACAATGGGGTGCTTAAATATAGAGAAAAGAAAATAATACTGTATGTTATTGTTGGGGTGGGGGGGGGGGAAAGGGGGGGGGGGGGGGGGTGGTATGGGTTTGAAATTTTGTTAAAGGTTCTCATGGTTCTGTGATGCCAGTCTGAAAATTTTTCACACTAGTTGCCTCTTATCTTGGGTTAACTACTGTGTAACACTTAATATAGCTGTTGTCTGACAGTGTGATAGTTACATTTGTATGCCAATAAGTCACAGTTAATCTTTTATAACTTTTAATTTTCACAAGAACAAACCACTGGAATTTATAATCTAAATTGTTTTTTTTTTATATTTTCTATCTAAATTTTGTATTATTTAATTGATGGCATTATGATTTGTATGTTTACTAGCAATGCACAGTATACTTATCATGTCTGTATGTAAGATCGTTCAGTATGCAGACATGGATAGTTTACTGCACATTGCTAGTAAGGCCAAAAAAAAATATATTTCTGTTTAAGGTTACATACTTTAAAAAAATAGGGTAGGTAGGTCGGTATTTCCATTTTATTTTATTTTTTGTGACATGATTTTGAATTATGCCGTTTCGTCTTGTCGTGGTCCGAGTTGATCATGGGCCGAATTCACCCGTATTTTTAATGATTGGATTATTTCCCTTGGTAATTGGTTGGAAAAAAAGGCGGCAAAGTGTTTATTTCATCACACGAGTTGCGAATTTCCTTAAAACATTGATTTATATTATTTGCAACACTAACTTTGTTTTTGACACGAGTTCAGTTTATTTTTCACTTTACGACGGAAATAAAATGACTTAGGGTCGGCGCTCAAAAGTAGGGTCGGTCGGGTAACCGTAAACAGACATATATTTTTTTATGGCCTAAAACATATATTTATTAATCATGTTAATTGTAATTTTTTTATATCCGCTCCCCAAGTTCCTGTAGATATAACAACAGCTTGTGTAATGGCTTTATTGTTTTATTTAAGTTTTTGAATTTTGAAACATCAAAAACTACCTGAAAATGGTTGAAACAACAAACAGCTTATTTTTTTAATTGATTTAACATGTTTAAGTTTTAAGTATTTACAAGGACTTATATATATAAATTATGTTAGTTATAAATCTTTGACATTTAAAGAGAAAAGTGATCAGAATATTATTAATGATAATCTTTATTGTCATATAAACAAATTAAATTTTATAGAATATACAGAAAACTTCAAACAACAAACTCATTATTATTTTTTTAATGTTTATTCTGAAGAAAAAACTATACTCTGTAACTGTATGTATACATCGTAGTAACCAAAACTGGCTTTTATACAACAGGGTGAAGGCCCTGTTGATTTATTTTATTTATTCAATTCTGTACCCTATCACTAAAAAAAATAAAGAAAAAGGTAAAACTAAACATTTTGCTAAATGCTTTCCAGACGTGACGGCCATACTTCTGCATCGTCCATAGGATGTGTCAGCCATACCGCCACATCGTCCATAGTACGTATCGTCTGTACCTTGTAAAGACGTATTGTCCATACTAAAGTCTTTAAGTATTATTAGATTGTGGTTATAACATAAAATATAATAATACATCTAAATGTAACTTAAATTTAATTCCGGAAAAAGAAACATGGACAACACGTCTTCACAAAGTATGGACGATGTTGTCCCATGGCCGATACATTTTTTCGAGGTATGGCTGATACATCCTATTGGCATTGTGGCAGTATGGACGTTGTACATGCATCAAACTACAAAAAATGTAAATAATATTTGCAAAATTGACTGTTAAACCAATTATAAGGGGACGAAGTCCCCTATTACGGTAGAAAAATCAATAAAAAAAAATTTAAAAAAAATCGGGAAAATTTCCCGAAATTTTCATTCTACTAATGAACTCAAAATCGTTAACTTTTTTTTAACTTTTTTATTTTCAGACTTTTTTATTTTCCCGCATTTGCGCAGAAATCTACTTCCTTTTTCCGGTCTCGTTTGCATGAGTCCTTGAGTAAAATATATATTTATCAGTCTAGTAAAATATAGAAAGGAACGCAATACCAATTCCATTTTTAATAATTCCTTGAATGGCTTGATATGAAAAAACGTTACCTGATAGCGTTTCTTTGTTTACATTGAATATGACGTCATAACATAAATAACGTCACAACTAAAATACTGAACAACAGAACCGAAATCGGAAACGTAAGGGTATTTCCGTTTCTTTTTTGAACAGATTTTGAAGTTAAAATATGTTTGAATTAAAAAAAAATAATTCATACAGACTTCGTCCCCTTTCACAGGTAACGCCTGCCTCATATTATATATATAACGAAATGAATTTGAATGGTGACAATTTCACAAAATGTATATGCTGATTCGACAAGGTGCAAATTTGACTTTTTCTATAGGTCAAGGTACCGAATTGACAATGTGACGTGTACCCATACAGATATACAGCCGGTCAGACTATAAAAATTATGAACTCGACACTTTTATGTAAATATTCGTGATCTGGAACTATCTAACATTTATATGGTTGTTTGGTTTAAGTAAAAGAATCAGAAATTTGACACAGATAGCTATTACCATTCCGGTTGTTCCTGTAATCTGTCATTTTTCAGATGTGTTGATGTGTCAAAATCCAGCCAAAACATTTGTTCAATGTCAAAACTTATTCTAAATAATTAGTCGTAGATTGCGCTTTATAAAACGTTTCAATGACATGTTTTTTTTTATTAATTTATCCGTACTCGGAAAAAGGAAGAAAACTTTCCGGAAAAGAATATAAAATACACACCAAAAACTTCAGGGTGTTTTTATATGCGTTGTATATATATTTACTAACTGGACAAATTTCTTATTTCCTGTAAAAAGCGATGATCTCATATTAAGTGTACCGTTTATAAAACATAAATTCGTTACAAGAGAGTATGCAACTTCATTTGAACTTTGGTGGATAGTACACACTAATATTTAATGCGATCTTTATGAACTTACCTGCTTTCTATAAATAATTTGTAAGTTATAAAATACACTTATAATACAATATTATTTAATTATCAATGTTTAAATGTCACCAATATGTGCTACTATTAAAATTTCAAGTGTTATTCGGTGATTACAAGTGTTATTTGGCTAATAACGGTGTTATTTGGTGATCATGTCGTGTTACCCCCGATTTCGTCAATCATAGTGTGGTAAGAGTTCCATATGGCCACTTCACCAAATGAATCCCGAATATCTCAATGTATTTATATATGTGCATCATGAAAGTTCTAGAACACCCAGACAAAGTTCTTGTAATATGCTTATTATTCCAAAAACTCAAATTGAATACTAGAAATGCTATGATTGACATGATTTGTTGATATCTGGAAGAATTTCATGGACCAAATAAAGGCAATAGTAGTATACCCCATATTTCTGATCCATATAACAGTATTGGTAAAACCATTTTGTCAAATAAATCAAGTTGACATTCTATTGACAAATTGTTTTGTCTACCTTTTTTTAAAACACTATACATAGCTTTTGTGGCTTGCTCTTTTAAATATTTTTTATTTGATAAAAAGGATCCACTTCTAGAAATAAATAAAATACCTAAATATTTCTATTCTTTTACAATTTCAATATCGTTGCAATTTACTGTGAACTTAAGATTTGCTAGCATTCTGCCACTCGAAAAGATCAAAACTTTAGTTTTATTTTCATTTTCCATTCTTCACAATATTCGTAAAAGGTATTTAACATGTATTGTAGATCAGTGCTATTTTCTGCTAATAAAACAGTATCATCTGCATATAAAAGTAGAAATAATTTCAAAAATACTGACAGCTCATTTTCGATATCTTGTGATATAAATTTTAAGCCAGTTATATTTTTCTGTTAAAAAAAAGTTTGAAGATCATATAAAAATATAGAAAACAAAGCAGGTGAAAGGTTTATATTCCCCTTGCCATAACGCCATCTCACAAGGGAAGAAATCGGAATTTCTTGCCCTCATGTATAATACGAGATTTGGCAAAATTCGCGGATTATTCAATGTGAAGAGTCAAAAAATAATTTAGCCTGGGATCCTGGCCAACTGCTTGACAGTAGACGAAGTATTAGATTGGGTCAGGATGCCAGGCTAATTTTATGGTTCAATAAATTCAAAATAAATAATAGCTATTCATTAAACAAATATATGCATCTTTTAAAAATAATTGGGACATTACATAACCAATAACAGTTTCCGAAAAAAATATATACTATTTTGCATCAATTCAAAAACCTCTTTAACATATATAAAAACAAGTAGACTAACAATTGCAATCCGTTTCAAAACACAATCAATTTTGCATTTTACAAGAAAACTAAAACTACGTATATATACTAATAAAGTTAATAATTCAACTTATATTACCATATATGTACATAAATAATATCAATTCTAATATGACGTGCTTCTTTCGCTTTTGTAAATAACACCGTGATAAAATTCTCGATATATCTATACTTAGCGCTGACTCCCGAGATGTGCATAATAATGGCTGTTAGAATATACCTCCCACGTAAATCCACATGTATCGTAACCTATGTGCAAACGATTTCGCTGCCAGGCGCGTAGCTGCCTTTACGCAAAAAATCATTTGCTTGCACATTTTTTTCACAAGTAGAAAGACAGGTCAACCGGGCTAACTATCCAGCTGACACTCCAAGTCAGTATTGGAAGCGAGCCTTGTATTTCTCCTTTCTTGACTATTTCATTCAGGAACTCACAGAACGTTTACTGGATAACTCTGATCGTTTTCAAGGCCAGAACCTTATACCTGCACGTTTGGAATCTTTGACAGCAGAGTGTATAGACAAACTATACGAAACATTTAGACACGACTTGACGGACAATCAAGAAACCTTCAACTCTGAGGTAAAGAGATGGCAGAGACGCTGGTCGGGTCCAGATGTTATAGAGTAGCCCAAATCTCTGATGTCGTCTCTAGCAGTGACTAAAAAGGAACTATATCCTTCAATAGTTTGCAATCGTGTCAATCCTAGTTACAATGCCAGTAACTACATCAACTACTGAACGATCATTTAGTGCATTACAGCGACTGAAAACTTATCTCCGTTCAACCATGGTATAGGACAGACTATCTTCGTTGGCGCTCATACATGTTCACAGAGAAATGAATATTGACACCGAGACAGTTCTGCGATCATTTGCCTTGGCAAAAAATAGATATATGGACTTTAGATATTAACCTATACTTTAAGTCTTACATGCAGTATTAACATTTAATAATACAGGCTCAATACGATAACCTTGAAAACATCTTAGATTTATATCCCTCACTTATAAGTCAAGACTTCAAAGTCGCCGTTTGATTTCGTATTCCCATTGTCCGTTCGTCCAAAAGACTATTAATTCACCTTGGGTATCTGTGTCCCAAGTGACCTTCTACCGTTGTCGTAGAAACACCTCCGATTCGAAAATGACCTTAGTGAGAAACGCTACGGTCGGGTGTCTTGCAAGAAGCAGGACCTGCTTACTCTTCCGGAGCACTGGAGGTCACACATTTTTTTTTCGGGGTTCGTGTTTTTTATATGTACTAGTATTTAGTTTCAATATTGAATGTTTTTGTTTGTTCTTTTGTGTCTTATCTGTTCCCGGGTTGGTCATGTGTCCATTGATTGCCCTTCTATTGATAAACGCTTCGGTTGACTTGTCGACTGATCTTCCCGTTTTATAAAACTTATTTTATATTTGAAAAGTTAATACGGGAGCTACCATTTGATTTTTATAGGGGGGGGGGGGGGGGGCTAGGATGAAATTTGAAAAAAGGCAGGACAGGAGTTTTGAGTAAAAAAAAAGGCAGGATGAGCAACTTGGCAAAAAAAAAAAGGCAGGATGACAATTTATGTAAAAAAAGTCAGGATAAACTAATAAAAAAAAAGGCAGGACCGAATAGAGTGACAAAAAAAAAGGCAGGATGACAATTTATGTAAAAAAAGTCAGGATAAACTAATAAAAAAAAAGGCAGGACCGAATAGAGTGAAAAATAAAAAGGCAGGACAGGAGTTTTGAGTAAAAAAAAAGGCAGGATGAGCAACTTGGCAAAAAAAAAAAAAGGCAGGATGACAATTTATGTAAAAAAAGTCAGGATAAACTAATAAAAAAAAAGGCAGGACCGAATAGAGTGAAAAATAAAAAGGCAGGACAGAGATTACAACTAAAAAAAATGCAGGACAAAATTTTTCATCCTAACCCCCCCATAAAAATCAAATGGTAGCTCCCTAAGGAGTAATGTGAATTTCATAAGCATGGCATACCTGGAAAATGACCGAAAAATAATAATTTTCTGCATAAAAAGGTCCCAAAAAAATTTTCCCCTCGCTCCGCTCGGCGATACAAGACTTATGCTTGCACTTTATTTTAGGCCAGCTACGCCCCTGGCTGCGTTAAAAATTACAATTAAAAAAAACCTACAGAACCTTTATTCTTATTCTGTTGTATAACAAAAAGAACTAATGCATTAGAGATCGGAAAAATGTACAAAATCAAAATAAATTAAAATTCCGCGAAATTCCATGAATGTTTTTGGCGCATTAACGTCATTTCAAAACATGACGTCATACGAATGAAAACGACAAAGCTTGAGGGTTTTCGATTGCGTTTACCTTCTAAACTCGGATAATATTGCATTAAAATAAAATTTTGAGGTAGGTGTTACTTTTTTTCTATTCTATTGCATTATTCGCACATTTACTGATTTCAGCAAGTCAACATGGCGGCTCCCTGGTTACAAAATGTCAACAGTGAATTTGACGATAGCTTACGAGAAAAAAATGTAAATTAAAAATGGCAAATGTTGGGTTTGAGAATTATAAGAATCAATCACATTTTTTCTAACGGTTATTTAAGAAATGATTCATGCAAGCTACAGATTTATTAGATTTTTTTACATTTATCCAACAGTGGGTGAAATAGAACAGCCACAAACACGGCATACCCACCCTCGCTTCAGTTTTTTAATGGCAGTATTTGTCCTATTAGAATCGAAATAATTCATGGAAACCATAGATTTGTTGGAAATTTACACATGGCCTGGGCCGTGATATTCGTTAATTTTATCCCTCGCTAACGCTCAGGATAAAATTCGAATATCACGGCCCAGGCCATGTGTAAATTTCCAACAAATCTATGGCTTTCATGACTCGATGATTATTTCTTAATCATTACACCTCCAACATCAAATGTATTTAGTGTAAAAACGTCATTAACAGTCGGAGAAAACATGACCTTGTGCAATGCCAAGATACATGCAGGGAGCTTATTCACGACAGGGGCGTAGCTAGGTATCCAATAAACTGTAGGCACAAATTGCGGCAGGGGGTCTGGGGCCCAATAAGGCCCCTGGTAAGGGGTTCTGGGGGCGTAGCCCTCCGACGGAAAACGGTTTTCAGCATTTAAGTTGCAAAATTTTGTGTACAAAAAAACATAAAAAAACGTCATTTTATCATGATAATATACATGAAAACAATGTCGAAAAAATAAACATAATTCTACAATTACATCTGACTGATGAATTAACCGGCAGTACAATTGGAAATATAAAAAAAAACAATATTTCCAATATGCATTGCCCAGCGTGGATCAGCGTAGCCCTTTATTAAGCAGCACAACCTGTTTCTGATTGAGTATAATTGATATA